CCTCTAGTAATATATTTACTGAGAAAAATGTTGACGTGTTCAATACTTATTTTACTCGCTGTATGAATACAAAGACATAAAAAAGTTAAAAAATGTATATGTATACATAAGTTTTAAAAGGTTATAACAAATTAGGTACCATACAGCAGAGTGCGCCAAAACACAAAAGTAAGTCAATGAACAGTTACTACTAACGTTGGTAACAAGGAGCCCCAACAGTCAGATGCAAGTCCCCCTATTTTGTCCTGCATTAAAAAGAGAAACAGCTACTGTATAGGGATGAAGGAATACTTGTACCTGTTAGTTTTCATACAGAGAAGTCTGAGTTGGTGGCCTGAAGGCAGAAACTGGAACTCAGTGTGTAACAGATGAGAACTGTCAGCAAGAATAGTGCTAGTTTTCCTGGTGATCTGTCTATTAAACAGTTCTGTGAGTGASCARTGTTCAACTCCTATGATCTTATGTGTGTGTACAACTCTGCCGAGTGCATTTTTTGACAATGTTAAGATTTCCAAACCAGCAGAGGAGAGAAAAGGTCAGCACAGATTCAACATATGATTTATAAAATAAAATCGACTTATCAACCTGAAACTTTGCCAGTTTTCTCAAACAAAGCAGTCGCTGTTGTCCCTTTTTTTTTTGCAGGTTCTCTGAACGACAGGTAAATTTTAACTTATTGTCCAAAACAGTCCCAAGATATTACTAATTTTCTACTATCTCCACTGTCTGGCCTTTTAATTACTGTCGGTTGATTTGTGTAATGAGACTTTTGTCTAAAATCAATGGACATGTCCTTTGTTTTCTGTACATTTAATTGGAGAAAATCTTTATCACACCAGTCTACAAATTCATCAACCACAGGACCATGAACATGTTCATCATCATGTAGAAGGCTGACTATTACTGAATCATCAGCAAATTTTAAAATCAGTATTATCATGCTGACTACGACAGTAAAGGAAAGGTGAGAGGACGCAGCCTTGGGGGAGACCCAGTAGACGGTGGCATCTCTCTTGACATGCATCCATTCACCCTCACTCTCTGTGTTCTGGGTGTTAAAATAATCAAGAATCCAGCCCACCACATTGAAATCTAAATGAAAGTTGTTAAGAAGCTTGTCAATAAGAATATCGGGCTGGATTGTATTAAAAGCTGGTGAGAAGTCTACAAATAGCAGCTTAGCATGATTTTTGTTACCTTCAAGATGTTTAAAAACACAGTTTAATAAAGTGGCAGTGGCATCCTCAACTCCACGACTAGCTCTATAGGCAAACTGTAAAGTGTGCAGGGAGGTTTTGCTTGGGGTTGTGCATTAAAGCTGAAAACCTTAGTGACTTCTCCATGTTTATTTACAGAGTCAGGTCAAGAAGCTCAACATGTCTTTTYAGAGAACCGTATTATGTGTCAGACTGTAACACTCTGTGACATATACAGTATAAAAGTTTAAACTGCTCCTAATTTATTTAAGCCTTCCTGTCAAACAGCCAGACTTCCTTGTAATATTTCTGAGTGGTCTTCTTGCATAACAGTCCTCCAGACGTTCTTAAAAATATATTTTGGACTTTGGCTGCTTTATCACCACTTGGCTGGCTAGTTTTCGTATCAGACTATGACAGAATATTTTATTTAAAGAGTAACTTACCCCAAAATTAACTTTTTTTAGCTGATAAACTGTCTAGAATGTGTCTAAAATGTTATATAGTACTGTT